GAAATAAAATAAATAACCTATAATGTCTTCTGACTAAATACTACACCCCTATTCATCTCTTTACAAAAATAAAATAAATCATCATTAAGTGGTATCTACTAGATATTGTGTTATTTACATTGCAGGCATTATCTCATTTAATTTTTAAGGGAGTTTTGGGGTAGTTAATTATACTAACACAGATAAAAAAATGAAGCTAAAAATGCTCATTTAAGTTCCCCAAAGCTATTCTACTATTAATTTAAGGAACTGGAATTTGAACCCAAGTGTAATTATACAGTTTGTAATCTTTGCATTAACCCCTAGGAGATGTGTACTCCATAGGGTTTTGAAAACAAAATATTTTTGCCCATTCGCTTCACAGTTGTATCAATCCCCTTATGACATTACAATGAACTATTAATCCAAAGGGACTTCATTTCATTGCACTGTCAGTTCTCAATTGTTGGTCATTTCTGTAATATTTTTTTAAAAACTAGATTTCAAAGAAATACTCAAATTCTCAGACTTAGAGATCATGACGCATTTCTCTGCCCCCAATCCATCATCTTGGTTCCCTGTCTCTCTACTCCACTCTCTCTCGTCTTTTTAATTCCCCCGGCTCTACAACTCTCTCTCCACCCCACCTTCTTTCTCACTCATTGCAACACTCTTTCTGAAACCCACATGCGTGTACATATATACCCCCAAACATGTCTGTACACACACAAACAGCATTTCTCATCTGCAAGTTGGAGTGTACACACACGTGTATCTCTATGTATGTGTACATACAAAAATACATATATACCCACACAATGTTGGAAGAACTTATGAAATGGAATATGTGTTTCTGTCATGTAAATTCTCCCAACATGACCGATTTCAAGTTACCAGTGATTTAGCAACCAGATTCATAATTCCTTAATATTGAGAGAATTTAGCAATAGGCTCTCAAGAGCCTTTATAATGAGGCTTCAGCACACTCTTTCACTAGTTTCATTCCCTAAGTTAATAGGCTGATCCCTATGTGCTTTGCTCTATAAGAAACACTGACTACTGACACCTTTTCTCTTACACAATTAGGGCGATGGCCATATAATCAATATGCATAAAATATGACCACATAAAAATGTTTCCTCATTGAGGAAGATAAAATTAGATTGGAATATTATATCTCAAATGTAATTAGACTTTATCCTCCATAAATACTCCACTCTTTTTCTTTGAAATGGCTTATTTTGCTCAAGTCAATAACTTAGTCATTTGTTCAACAAATATTTAATAAGAAATATTACTCAGTATATTGTGCCAGGTACTGTGGTACACACAAGGATGTATATGATGATTTCAGGATTTTGCTCCCTAGTGGATGAGGCATATCAGCATTAAAGTATATGATGTTCCAAATGAAAATAATGAGTGCTGTGAGTGCATAAGAGAAGGGAGGAAGGGGGAGAAAGAGGAGGGGTGATCAGGAAAGAGGACACTGTCAAGTTGTATGGAAGGATAAATTGGTTTCTGTAGGCGTAGAATAATTGAGAACATTCTAGGAAAATAAAAAGAAAATATTATAAGCACTTCTGATTTGACTTATATCAGTGCATTTATCGTGTACTTTCTAACAAGACTCTCTACAATGTGGCAGATGCGCAACAGTAATTTTCTCCTGATAGTCCTGTTACCTCTTGTGCCATTATGATTATTTCATTATTTCAAATCCTCACTTGTTCATTGAGTTAACATTCTCTTTATTTCTTCTTATTCTTATCTTTTGATTCATCCATTATAGGTTTTTTTTTTTGGTTTTATTTCTTATCTCAAAGTTCTACAGAAAAGCTATCAAGTGTAAAAATCTTAAGAACACAATTTGATGTGTCTGACTTTTTTGCTCTACAATATTTCTGTTAGATTAATCCATTTTGAATGTAGGGAGGTTCAGTGGTTTGTTTTTTTGTGTTTGTTTGCTTGTTATTGTTTCCTCATGAGTTTTATTTCTTCATCGATAATATTTTCTTTAATTAATAAACTCAATTTATATATTCTACTATTGTTGAGTATATGACTTTAATTTTTTTAGTATTCTGAATAAAATAATTATGAATATTTTTGTGTATGTATATGGTGAATATAATCACTTATTTCTTTTAGGTAATTACCTAGGAGTAATTGCTGGTCCATAGGGAATATTTAGAATTAATAGACATTTCCAGTTTCCACAGTGGTCAGTAGATGATCCCAATCTTCATGAATACTTAGAATTAGCAATCAATTTCAGCCATACTGGATGAGTTATAGGGTGTCACATTGTAGTGTCATTTAGCATTTCCCTTTGAGTACTAGGGATGAAAATTTTTCTTTTCACTCCTTGGATATTCTCTTCCTTTAAAGATCCTAGTTTAGTTTTTGTTCTTATTTTCTATTGATTTTTTGTCATTTCTTTGCAGATTCATAACAATTTCAATATGCTTAACCCATTACTATTACAAGTGCTTTAACTAATATGTATAATGGAAATATTTTCTATCAGTCAGTGATCTTCATACTGGACCACCATCTCTTTGGAAACTTTAGTAAGTGGTATTCTTGCACTATTCTATGATTAAGTAATATAATTTTACTTTTATTTTTTATTCACTACATTGAAAAACATATTTTGATTTGTGATTTTGCAATATTAAGATAACACATTTCCTTTCTTTGGCTTCCATATACTACATATTATTTTATTTTTATGTTAAATTAATTTTTATTAACGTACATTTAAAGCTAGTAAGACTCGCACTGCATGGAAAACAAATGAGAGACTTTGTCTTATTTGATAGCCATGATCTATTAACAAGTTATTGATGAGTGCTAAGATGTGGATGTGGGAAGGGGAGACACACGCATTGGTAATTAATGTCCTAAATCTGCATTGTTACAACATCTACTAAAATCAAGATGCAAAATTCACTTAATAAGAGGTTCTGTTCACTTCATATGAAAGTGTTCTGATAGTATTAGATTTACATCTCTGCTTTCCTGTTGACAACATGCATGTTTGTGGGGAGGTGGAGTGGAGGAGGATGTCTGCCTCTACGTCAGTCCCTCTATCCCAGGGGCAGATAATGGGATTTGAGGCTCTGAGGTGTTATCCTGGTTCATACAGGAGATTTGAGTTTGCTTTGTTTTCAGATCCCCAAAGGATCCCAAGTATGAGTGTTTATTCCCTTCAGTAGATTCAGTAGAGCTCTCTAGCCCTAGTCTTGCTGGATGTGAGTTTCCTATTAAATGTGTGATAGAGATGGATAGTGATCAGAGACTCTTCTCTAAGAGTTAAGGAACAGGCTACAGCTCAATTTATTAAGCTAATATGTTCTATCTCACTACTCTAGAAAGATTTTCTGACTGAAAAAGGTCTTTACTGGATCATGCTGAGACAACTTAAATTTTTAAATGAAGCAATTGCAGAGGGAACTGAAAGTTGTATAAATGATCTCCACTCTCAGTGATAATTGTGTATAGGACATGGTCTTTCATAATAATAATTGAAAATAGCCTCATCAGAGGCCCAGAGTTAGGTGCAGGTTTATAAAGGTGATTCCAAAGAACGAAGCAGAGAAGTAAGAAGTCTGGAAATGAATGTTACATACAGTCTTGCATGATTTATAGGCTGGAGATTCTCTATTTTATAATGTCATTAATAAAATAGTTCTTAAAATTTGGACTTTTCTCTTTCACTTTTCCCAGGAGTCCATAAAGCTGAGACTGCCCTTCCTTCCTTTCTTCCTTTATGCTTCCTTCTCTCTTTCCTTCTTTTCTTCTTCTTTTGTCTCTTTTCTTTCCCTTCTTCCTTGTCTTCCTACACTCCTCTGTCCCTTTGTTATTTTTTGTATAGCCCTGTCTTATCTCTTCTTGATTTTCTAAATGAACAAAGGAAAAGAAGAAAGAAAGAATGGAAAAAAGGATGAAGGAAGGAAGGAAGGAAAGGAAAAAGAGAGAGAGAGAATGAGAGACTGAGAGAGAGAGAAGAAAAAAGAGAGAAAGAAAGATCAAAATTTCAGGGTAGTAAAGCAGAAGTCTGGATTTCTTTCTCTTCATTGTCGTTGGAAACATGTTTTTACTTCTCTCAAATCTTCTCCTTTCAACAAATCTTTTCAGTGTTCCCCAATATCTCTCCCCCGACACACACACACATATATAAGGAAGGGTAGAATTGTTGGATATCCTGGGAATTTGGCAACTAGTAGATACTTTGAAGTTTCTTTATTAATTTAATTGCCATAAGAACACTGTTAACAAAGAGATGAATTTCTCTCCTAGAAGGTATTTCCAGCTGTAGTGTTTCCCATCTTTGTGTAACTATTTTCATATCTGAGGTATAGTAGAATGTGTCTGTCCATCTTTGTGCAACACTTTTTATATCTGAGATACAGTACAGTGTGTCTGTGGGGGTTTATAAGTAAACATGGAGAAATGAGTTAACGAACATAGCTCTTCATTTTGTATCTGAGATTCTAAATATGTGTCATTGTCAAAACTGATACTAAGTAAACCAGCATAAAAAATGGTGCTGAATTTTCTGTTATTCTACATGTCTACGTACACTATGTCCTTATATGTATTGTCATGTTCTGTATGCAGGTATCTGTAGCTGTGGTTCTGTGATTTTATGTTGATGTGTTTAAGTAAGGTCTACTTTGTCTTCAAAGAAGACTGAGACCTCAATATTAAACATAAGCCCCTTAATGTTTTTGAGATTCATTGGGTTTTGTACGGGGTTTCAGTAAATGAGTACAAGATATTACTGTCCAAAACTTCAGAGGGAGATCTATCATAAAGTTACTGTTTCTTCCACTTGGAGAGTGCTCAGTCTGTGTCTACATCAGACTTTGAATTCAGGTTATAGTGTGAGCTTTTCGAATGAGTATAATACAGATAAAAATTAAACCTATCGGAGAAGCTTTGAACTATGCATTTATCGCTCTTATTTTTCCTTCTAGAGGTGGTCAACTACTTCTCTTCTTGTCAATGGCAAGATGTTCCACACCAACACTACAACTTTCCACCCAGACACCTTTATTCTTACAGGTATTCCAGGCCTTGAGGATTCCCATGGCTGGATCTCCTTGCCTTTTTGCACCATTTACTTAACGGATCTGCTGGGCAATGCTACCATTTTGTTGATCATCTGGTCTGACCATACCCTGCGAGATCCCATGTTCTACTTTCTAGCCATATTATCAGCCATAGATCTGGCCCTCTACACATCCTCAGTGCCCCGAATGCTGGGTATCTTCTGGTTTCATGCACATGAAATTGGATTTGGAGCCTGTGTGGCCCAGATGTTTCTCATACACACCTTCACAGGAATGGAATCTGCTGTTCTGCTGGCAATGGCTTTTGATCGATATGTAGCCATCTGTGCACCTCTCCACTACACAACCATCCTGACACCCCGAGTGCTAGCGGGCATTGGTGTGGGTATTATAATGCGCCCAATCTTGCTCATGTTGCCCATCATCTACCTAACACATCGTCTGCCTTTCTGTGAAGCTCGAATTATTGCCCACTCCTACTGCGAGCACGTGGGCATTGCCAAATTGGCCTGTGCCAGCATTAGAATTAATACCATTTATGGGATTTTTGTAGCTTCTTTTCTTATTTTAGATGTGGGCACTGGTTGCAATCTCTTATGCCTATATCCTCCATGCGGTTTTCCACCTCCCATCTCGAGATGCTCGTCACAAAGCCCTGAGCACATGTGGGTCACATGTTGGGGTCATGTGTGTTTTCTATACACCCTCCTTATTCTCCTGCCTTACGCACCGATTTGGCAAAAAAAATTCCTGGTTATAGGGGCCAGCCCGGTGGCGCAAGCGGTTAAGTGCGCACGTTCCGCTGCGGCGGTCCGGGGTTCGCCGGTTCGGATCCCGGGCGCGCACTGACGCACCACTTGTTAAGCCATGCTGTGGCAGCGTCCCATATAAAGTAGAGGGAGATGGGCATGGATGTTAGCCCAGGGCCAGTCTTCCTCAGCAAAAAAGAGGAGGATTGGCATTGGATGTTAGCTCAGGGCTGGACCTCCTCACAAAAAAAAAAAAAAAAAAAAAAAAAAAATTCCTGGTTATGTCCACATCCTTGTTGCCAATCTCTATGTGGTCATCCCACCTGCCCTCAACCCTATGATCTATGGTGTGAGGACACGGCAGATTCGCGAGCGTGTGATCCATGCTTTCACCTCAAAGTAGAGTCTCTTGTTTCCTCAGATCTTGAGAGTGTGGATATAACTGAAAGAAGTTAGCTTTGACTCTACTCTAGGTTGATCATCTTTTTAAATGTTTCTCATACTGAAAGATCTTGTAGATCCTAAAGGAACACACTTTGGAGAATGTTTTCTGGTCTTAAATCTCAGTGTTTCCTCTCCACATAGGTATTGAGTGTTTATTCACCTGAATGTAGAGTTCCATTACAGTAGGGAAAGCCTCCCACTGAAGTCCTTTCATTTTTAACTATGAAGATTTATTGAAACTCCATGTTTCCGTATTTGAAAATAGGATAGTTTTTCAGCTGGCCACAATTCTTTTATGTCAATTACCTTGTTTTTCTGAAAAAGGAACTTAATTTAAATGTAAAGTAAGAAAGATCTTGGTATATTTTTCTCTTATAACTTTAAATGTATCTAATTTCTCTGAGGACATCAGTAGGATATTGAGTGAAGTTTAAAAATGTCTTCAGTTTTTCCCTTTCATTTTGGCACATTTTCCTTACCCTTTATTAAAACGTATAGCCACAGTGTGTCACCACCTCACTGCGCCACCACTTCCCTTTCTGGAGAAGTATGAAGTGAAAGTATCTGAAAACAACACATGTGTTAAAGAATAAAATTATTATTTATAAGAGAAGCATGAATGTACAGAATTTTAACAAAGGGATTTCGAATCATATTTAATCAGTTTTTTTCCTTAGGTACGTGTGTGTGTGCGCATGTGTTAAATGTATTTAGGTAACCTTTTATCTATATGGGCCTCTTCTTCCCCTCCAATGGCCTCTTTCTTTGTAGAATGCAGTATACATCCATCCTTTGGGTCTTGATGACTTGCAAAAGTAGATAAATCTCAGACAAGCTCAGGTAGAAAATAAATTTTCAGTCAGCTACTTTCACAAGAATTTGCTGGATATTCTTACAAGAATTTTGTCTAATCTTCCAAGGACCTCTCTCCACCATGACTTGTGGGGATCAAAGATGTTTTTTGATTATTCTTCGGAAATTTGCTCTTGGCAGAAACTGATGTGCACATAAAATAATGAAATAGGACACAAGAACAACTGCTTAGGAGGCTAGAAACTAATTTCCTGATTTCATGTTCACCATCTGATGGTACAAATATGACTGTACTACTTTGCAGCATGACTACATGGACCAGAACCAATATCTTCAGGGATTAGGAGTGAGGAAGATAGATTACCTTTCAGCAAGGAGCACGGACTAAAGCCTTTAGTAAAAACATCTGAAAGGAATCAGTGGAGAATGACACAAGTGGTATCTATATATGGTTATTGGAGGAATTTATTTCCTGTGAACACTTTGAACACATTAAATGATCTTTTTTCTTAGAAATAGAAGGATGCAAATAATGAATTTTTGAGGGCTTCTTTTGTCAAAAGTGCATCTAGCAGCATTCTTTTTTTTTAATTCAAGTAACTTTGGTTTACAACATTAGATAAATTTCAGATGTATATCATTATATTTCAATTTCTATGTAGATTACATTGTGTTCACCACCCAAATTGCCATCCGTCACCATATAGATGTGCCCTTTTACCTCTTTCTCCCACCCCTCTCCCCCCTTCCCTTATGGTAACCACCAATTTATTCTCTGTGACTGTGTGTTTGTTTGTTGTTGCTGTTGCTTTTATATTCAACATATGAGTGAAATAATACAGTATTTGACTATCTCTGTCTGACTTATTTTGCTTAGCATAATCCGGCAGCATTCTTTCCAGTGTTTTTCTTAATTTGGACAGTGTGTCTCATTTTAAGTAGAACTCAAAATTAACAATATTTAAGAATAAAACATTAAAATAATGATTTTTTACATTACTAAATTATTTATTTTTTAAATTAATTGATTTTAAACCTCCTTTCAATAGGTGACCCCCCCACTTTCAATGCCTTACAGGATTACCAACACCATTCTTCACAGAAACTAAATCCACAGTGTCCTACCTTTACAGGGAAAGTTCATACGTATTTCCAGTTGGTCAGACTGATAGGATTCATATGTGTTATTCTATAAATAATGATATTTTCTATCAAATTTTTAAGGGATACATTATATTCATGTTCTAACAATGTCTTTTATAGTCATAATGTTCCTTGTCTCTAACCGTCAACTTTCCTTTATGTTTCCATGCCCTACAACTAAAAGACAAGTAGGGTAGAGTGGCAAAAGCACTGGAAATACCTCTTTAAGTCCAGTTTCCCCTCACTTATGTCTATCTATCTATCTATCTATCTATCTATCTATCTATCTATAGATAGCTATATATATGTACACATACATACACGCATATGCATATATATATAATATAAAGCCCGCAGAAGGAAATTTATAGTTCCAAATACCTAAATATCTCTATATTTGTTAAATAAATTACATCACTAATTAATAACCTTCCAAAAATCAGATTTTGATGGTTTCTCTGGTGAATTCTATCAAACATTAAAGGAAAAAATTATATCAGTTCTCTAAAATCACCTCTAGAAAACAGAAGCAGACGGAAAACATATACAGATGGAAAATAAACATATGAAAAATGCTCAACTTATTTTTCCATTAAGGAATTGCAAGTTAAAAAATACAATAAGAATCCACTACACACGTCTAAAAATGGCTAAAATTAAACATAAATAAATAAATAAATACCAAGGGTAAATGAGAAAGCAAAGCAATAAAACCTTTCCTTCATTTTTGGGGGGAATGCAAAATGGCACAGACACTTTGGAAGAAAGCTTGGAAGTTTCTTACAAAGCTGGAGTCTTCCCATAGGATCCAGCAATTACACTCCAGGCAGTTTGCTCAACTGGTTTGAAAACTTTATTCACACAAAAATGTGGACATGGATATTTGTAGCAACTTTATTCATGATTGCCAAGAACTGGAAGCAACTGAGATGCACTTCAATAGGTAAATGAACACCCAAACTGTGGTATATCCATTATACATAATACAATGGGTATTATTTAGCATTAATAAGAAATGAGATATCAAGCCATGAAAAGATGTGGATGAATCTTAAATGTGTATTCCTACGTGAAAGAAGCCAATCTGAAAAGTCTTCATATTGTGTGACTCTAGTGAAATTATGTTCTGGAAAACATAAAACTATACAGACAGCAAACACATCCATGGTTTCCAGGCGGAAGAGGGATGGTGGGATGTTGAATATGTGAAGCACATGGAAATTTTTATGTTGATGAAACTTCTGTATGACACCGTAATGGTGGATGTATGACACTATACATTTGACAAAACCTATAGAAATTTACAACACAGAAGATAATCTTAATGCATGCAAATTTAAAAAAATCGTTTAGGAGTTCAGGAGATTCCAAGACAAAATGCAAAATGTGACAAATACAGTATATTACAAATGTAGGAAAAAACTTCACTAAAAGTAGATGAGGGAAAATGTGCTAACCTAAGTAAACTTGGAAATGAGTGGAGTCTGTGAGATAAAAGGCAAAAGAAAAAAAAAACTATACATAAGCTTTACACTCTAGTGGATACATTTTTTCCCATGGGGTTACAGGTTAACAATTCTAATATAGCTACATATGCATATATTGTTATTAAACAATTAAATGGATGGCATATGATGGGGGCAAGGTTTCTCACTGCTAGAGTGGGAGTTTACACACGAGAGGATATTAGAATAATTCACTTGGTAATGGATTAGAGTTAGAGACATCACGATGTTTAGCTTTAGATAGATAGATGATAGATGTTTATAGATACATGTACATATGCACAGGTTAGCATGCACACATATATTTCCTTGATCTGTCAGCTGAGAGGGCCTTAAGGTAATGACACATCAGCAGCAAAGCACATCCAGCACCCAGAGATTTGTTTCCAGTAACATTATCCAATTAAAAGTATCAGTGATCCTTGGAGAAATATCACATTCTAAGATTGGGGCAGGTGATATACAAAACAAGCCTGTAGGATCTTGTAGTGCCAGAAAGTAAGGAAGTGCCTCCCCTCCCAAAAAAATAAGAACACACAATTATGGGGATTGCCAAAGGGACACAGAAGCCAATTGAAAGAGGTCTCAATGGCCAAAACTGGACAATGTGACAAAATAAAGTAGTATTGGATTATAATCTACAGTATAAAATAAATCTTCTTGAGTCCATACTGATATAAATACATGATTGAATACATAAGTAAATAGGAGAAATAGAAAAATCTCTCATGAAAAACATTCCAAACCATTTGTAAGGATACTGCATCCTCAAGAAAGTGGAGCATAATTTCTTCCTCGTTAATTTGTGGGCTGCACATTGTAACTTACTTCCAAAGGGTAAACTTGAAAATGGGGGAGGAAGAGAATCCTGACAAACACAGCCTCAGCCAGATGATGAAGTTCATCAAATGATAAGCCATGTTGATAGTATGTACCCTCAATAAGTTTTGATATATATGCTATTTTACCTCACTGATCTTCACCCCCAAATCACAAAACTCTAGTCTATTCAAGGGGGAAATAATCAGACTAATCTCAGTTGAGCAACATTTTACAAAAACCTACCAGTACTCTTGAAAACTATAAGTCATCAAAACCCAAAAGAGCCTGAGGAACTGTCACAGCCAAGAGAACCATAAGAAGCCTAACTGGGCATAATTAGTAGATGTAACTTGGTGTCCAGGATGAGATCTCATAAGAGAGAAAGAAAATTAGATAAAACTAATGGAATCTGAATATTATATGAACTTAGTAATATATAAACTTTAGTTAATATTGGTTCATTAATTGTAACAAATGACCACACTTATGTAAAATGCTAATGATGAGGGAAATTATGTTATCAGTTATATGAGAACTCTCAGTGATATATTTACATTTTTCTGTAATTTACAAGAATTTTAAAATACGAAAAAGTTTATTTAAAACTAAAAGTGTATGGAGAGATAAACAAGACATTTTCTATATCAAGAATTTTAATATACTGTTGAAATTATGA